CCGATCCAAGTTCCTTGATAGCAGGCAACATAAGGGGCAATCCCAAGCGCATCAATAAATTTGAATAATCTTTGAATAATTTGCAGGCGCCTCAACGCGTTTTAAATTCAGCCAACTTCCACTGTACAAGTGCGAGTGCGAGTTCGAGTGCTAACACGAGTGCATATATAATGCATGTGTACCCCATACTATATGTATGGGCATATAAGTGTATATATATAAACCCTAAATGGGTCAACCAATACACCAAAGTCCACACCAACGACAACGACGACGACGACGACGATGGGCGACTACAACGACGACGACGACGACGACGACAGCAGCGACAAATAGTTGTCAGGTAGAGCGAATGCGAGTATTACAAGGCCAAAAGCAGCGCCAAAACGGTGAGAAAGGGATGGAAAGGTAGTCAAGGGGTGGATGGTAGGCAAGGTAGGCAAGGGATGGGGCAGATGCAGCTGGAAGTGTCCGGAGGGTAGGGGTCGAATGGGGTGTGTGGCGATTGCGGGCGTTGTCTGGGAGCTTATGACGTTTGTTTGGCTTTGACGCACTCACATCGCGTGTGTGTGTGTGTGTGTGTGACCATCCATCCATCCATCCATCCGCACATCGATGGTTTGCCTTTAAGCTTCAACCTCAGGTAGCTCAAAGGCCTGCTTGGTTCGGTTCTCATATGAAAATCCTCCTACTTACCTTCCTCTCCACGATAATGTTTCCTGTTTGGCAAAGGCCAAAAATAAAAGCAAATGATGTTTTTAAACACACACGAAATGTCTATCTTTCGTTTAAAGAAAAGCATTTGCTAAATTCATACATTTCAACAAAATTGGATAAATAGTGAGGGACAGTGGGTTGGGGGTGTGGGTGTGTGGCAGTGGGTGGTGCTGGCTGTGAGGATATGAGGGGCAGCACTGCAAAATTGTTTAAAATGCTTTTGAACGAGAATGAATGCGAAAATAGATTTCATCCAGACATAGACGAACTGATCAAGTTCCCTACAAAACACAAGCATTTCTTTCACTCATTTGTGCGGGGCCCACCATGCCCCTTACCCCATGCACCCAACTCTAGCCATGGCCCCCTGTCGCGCCCTCTACAGCCATGAAACAGCATGGTCTATATTTAAATGATGAAAAACAGAATCAAGTCAAAGAGAAATCATCGAGAAAACATTTCGAAATTCATGTCTAGAGTACAACAACAGCAAAATGAGAGATACAACAGCAAAATGAAAGCGTACAACAATAACTGCAGCAGCAGCAACAACAACACAGAAAGAAAAAGAACAAAAGTACACCAACAAGAATGATTTCAACCAAAACTCTACAAAATAAGCTACAGAAAAACTACACCATAGAAACATAAGCACTGCTGCTACACCAACAAACAATTACAAAAACAAACACTGCAAAGACCTTAAAACTGGTTCAACAACAACAACAGCGCCAAAAACTGCACCAACAAAGTTTACAACAATATAAACTATAGCAAAAAAACTTCAACAAAGTTCAATCTAGAACGAGAATTGCTTCACCAATCATAATTATTTGTAGTAACACCAACAATAGCTTCTACAATTATAATTATAGTTACACCAACAATGGGCATCAGCAAATAACTATAGTTACACCAACGATAGCTTCACCAAACAGATTTATAGTTACACCAACGATAGCTTCACCAACCAGATTTATAGTTACACCAACGATAGCTTCACCAACCAGATTTATAGTTACACCAACAATAGGCTTCACCAGTCAAATCTACACCAGTAAACTCAACACAAAATAAGAACTCTGCACAACACACTTTCCACACCAGTAGATTGTTTTGCTGTTTTCGAAACAGAATATACGTATACACACACACACACACATGCATGTGCATACAGAATCGTATGTATGTATATTTATATTTATTTTCTATGTACGAGAATAGTCCTCCTATGTTTTGTATGTTCTATGCACACCCACACAAAATACATATACGCATATGTAGCTGTACATATCTATGTACGTATAGATATAGAGAAAAGCTTCGTGATCGAAACGTTTTATTCGTACCTCTGCCCGAGCAGAGAATTTTCTTCGTTGAACAATTTAAAAATTTACTTTCAACAAACGTTGCAAGTAGACATGCTGCAGCGTCATCCGTAAAATGTGTATTTGGTTTGGCATTAATGTATATAGAATAAATATACACATGCACGCGATCGTACATACATATGTACATATGTACAGATGTATATTTAGATTGTGCCAGTAGATCCAAAAGTAATTCTGCCCAAACATTGATATTAACAAGCAGAGCGAGCATAAATACTCGTATATGTAGTTTTATGGATGGAATATTCTGAGACTTAGGGAATCATCTGCTGTTAATATGTCATGGGTGACATAATGGGTGGTTGTTGTTTGAAAAAGAACCTTGAACCATTACAAACACTTACTTGAACCATTGCAAAACGGCTACACTTATCCCTGGAGCGCATTTTTCGCTTCAATTATTTTTGCAAATGTTAAAAGTCTCTCCGTGGGGGTGCATTCAATGATCATTCTAAATAGAGTCAAATCATGGATCATCGAACACGCGCAAATATCTGAAAACAAAATATAACAAAAATATGTGTGTTCATTCATAATAAAGATGGACACATAATTTGATATTATTTTACCAGGCAGATATGTACATATCAAATGCACCGAAATTAACATGTACACTTTCTGTGCGTAGAATACTAAAACTATTCATGGCATTTCACATTATTTAATGAACTCAATTAGGGATTATTCATCGTCTCTCAATGCATCGTTGCAGCATAATATTTAACAGAAACCATTCATATTTAATTCGGCACAAGGATCCGTTTCAACTAATTGTTAGAAATTATTTTATAAATGAAGAATTCTTGATAAATTAAGAATGCATAAAAGGTTATCCTTATTGCCACACACATTCGGCTTTATATGATTAAAAATGTCAACAGTCACACAGCTGTGGATACTTACATAAATATCTGCATGCATACTTGTACCTGCGGAAGCACATCATTATTGAGTGGAAAGCCAATCAAAGTGTTTGTTAAACTCATTGCATGAGAATAATATAACCGTGTAATGCGTTGAGCTAGAAGCCAATGCAATGCATCAACGAACACGCAGGGACTGACGGAATTAATGCCATTTGACAGATTATCGGCTGCTATTAAATGTGAGTTTAACTCGCAACTTCAACTGGGCTTGGATTTGCATTTATATCAGAGCCAGAGTGACATATGTGACAAAATTCTTGTGTACTTTTTTTGCATCCATACTTCCGTTGTCAAAATACGGCTGTGATTGGCATGACTAACTGATTTGAAAGACATTTTAGGGAGGGCCAGAGTCCAGCCTTAATGGATATTGATTTTAATTTCCAAGATCAAGTTTACCGCCCACAGACAGGCTGGAAATGTTCAAAAATACTTCTCTGCACTGCGCCTGATCAAGGTCAAACGTGACTTTGGTTTCCCCTTTGACGCGTGTCAAAGGCAAAAGTCCAGCATCCTTTTTTCCCATTAGCTAATGTTCTGCCTCCGCCGGGACTGTGTCCCTTTTAATCAAGGTAAGCCGCGATTTAAACTCGGCCAGCACTTGACAGTTGGCAACTAAATGAAATTCCATTAAATATGTGGTAAGACTTTTAGACAGCCAGCCTGTCAGAGAGAGGGAGAGAGAGAGCCAGATCCGGCTGCAGTGGCCACATACTAAACTCTGCTGGTCGATTCTGCCATTCAAAAATCACTGCAAGCGGATTGCAACTCGTGTCTGGCTGCCCTTGAACCAAGTTTAGCCACAAAATGTATCAATCAAGGCCATTCCAATTAATCAGGCATCCATGGCTTCCCATTGAAGTGGCGAAAGTTGGGGAAAGGAGATTCCATTGGCAGTGAGAAATCAAACTGAGATTGGGCTTAAAATACGAACTGCTAGAAATGCCAGAGGTCTTCCATTAAGATACTTTCGGCAATTGCTGGCTTTCCTTTAATATTTTCAGAGCAAACATTTTAAGAGGGCTTCCAAAGAGCTGGCTGGCATTGTTGGCATTGAAGGGATTCCGCTTACCCTTAACAAGAGGCTCTGCAAGCTTAAAGCTTTTAAGGAGAGTCCACGAACTATAGTAAAGAGCTCCCCATGGAAAATGGGAATGCGTTTTGCTTTCTATTGATTTGCTTGCAGCATAACTATCTTGGTGTTTCAGTGAACTCTTCTAATCTGGACAAGCTCTTAGATGATACCTTCATCAATGAAGCTTCGCAATTAATCTCAGCTTTAGCTGAGGTTCCTATTTTCTATTTCCCAATATTTCATGTTCCCAATAGAGTTCTTCCATGATAAAACCGGACCTATCCGAAGAAGTATCTGCATGTTCTTGGGCTCCTGGCTCGTTGGTATGGCATCTATGTATAGGAAATCTATCGGGATTTGGTTAGGCTTTGCTCTGACTGCACTCCGTCTCATGGTCTCTCGCGTGCTGCCATTGCTCTCAACTGGAGCACAACTTATTTTTATCCATTGCATTGAATTCCAAGCGGCTCCGTTTACACCAGAAGCAGCAGCAGCAGCAGCACACACACGTATACAGATGTTCTCCAAGAGTGTTTGGGGGAGGGTTGCAGTCGGGTGGGGGGGGGGTGCGGGTTCGGTTCGGAATGGATCGGAAGAGATCGTTGCAGAGCCGAATGGCGAACAGCGAACAGTTTTCGGTATCCATTTCGATTTTTGGGTTGCCAGAGGCATCTATTTTTAGGCCTCATGCCCAGATACATGGCCACAGTGCCTCGTCCAATAGCCCCACTCCCCTCCCTGCCATGTGTGCGTTGTGTGCGAGTGTGCGAAGGACGGGCAGGTGGGCGGCACACATCGCATCGCATCGCATCGCATCGCTCTCTCGCTCTCTCTCGATGCGAGTGCGAGTGCAAAAGTAAACTTTCGGAACGGGTCCGAAAAGTATCTGTATCCGTTGAACGGCTGTCCGCTAGAATATAGTCTGCCGTGGATCGTCGGACCGTTCAGTCTTTTGTGTCGTTCAGTATCATCCGATTCGTGTGATCGACAGCACAGCTCAAATTTTTTTTCTTTTTTTTCTAATTCCTTGAAGGTGAGTGCCGCAGCAGCAGCAGCAACAGCAGTAAAAGTATAAAAATACAAAAGAAAAAATGTAAAAACAGCAGCCGCAGCAGCAGCAACATGCAACATGCAACATGCAACATGCAAACAATAAACCAACATTTAATATCAACGAGATACAATCCAAGAACCAATCTTAAATCTCCAAAGAAAAAAGAACAAGAAAAAAGAACAACAACAGAAAACAATGAACCGAACGAACCGATCGATTTGTGTGCGACTCCTGCGCCAAAAAGGAATCTTCCCCTTCCCTCCGAGTACCGATTCGAACCCAATAGTCAATTCGTGCGTGTGACTTTAATCCCATAATCCCCCCTCCACCCACCCACAATTCCCCATTGCTGGCCATACTATTTTTTTGATAATTTTTTCAAGTGTCGTTTCGAAAGTGTGTCGTTTGCCGGTTGAATATGGATTGAACCGATTGAAACAAAGTTAAAACATTCTTTTTTTTTATGACATTTAAGCACTTTTTCTTTATTGTTATTTTTCCACCTTTTTTTTTCTCTCCTTCGCTCGCTTATTATGTAAGAAGGTGAACTGTGTATGCGTATTTGTGCGTGAGTGTGTATGTGTGTGTGTGTGTGTGTGTGCTAAAAATGAATCCCACAGCAGATACAATATACATTTCGTTTCGAAAGAACCAAATGCTGTGGCAAAAGTGCCTCAAAATAGAATAGAAAAATCAAGCGAGAGAAAGGCTGAATGCCAGAGGGAGAGAGCCAAAAATACACACACTCAAACACACACACACACACACACACGCACACACATAAACAAATGCACAGATCACCCAAATATATATGTATATATTTTTCTATATAGCCATAAAAAGCTCTGGATAAATACGTACCACTCTCCGCACGATGATTGGATATTAAAATTATTTTTTTTTTGTAGTTCCATTTTCTACATCGCCCAATGAGTAAACGATTTCCCCCTAAATTTTCGGTACACATTAACAAAATAGCATAGCGATCATAAATAGCTGCCATATTTCTCGATTCCCCATTCGTGTATCTATCAACAGGTTTATTTTTAAATCCCAGAGATACAGCACACAATAGCATCCATCCATCCATCCATTCCTCTTCCTCTTCCACGCTCGCTCGCTCGCTCGATCTGTGCCAAATGGAGATCACAACTCTGCTTAGATTTTCCCCCCACACCCCACCCGACCCCTTCTTGGTCTGTGTGTGTGTGTTTGTGCCCGAAGGTCGACACTGTCAGGGATTGTTCGCGTCTTTTACCTTCGCCGAAAAGGTGTCTTCCCAAAACACAAATCGCAATGCTTTTCGGTCTATATTTATGCCCAGCTCTGGGGCTTTTGCCCGAGCGCCATATAGCAATATGGTTTGGTAATAGTTGTCTGGCAATAATAATGGCACACAAAACATTTATGTGCTGTGCTTCACCCATTGAAAAATGGCTTCACAACTCCCCGAAAAAGATCGCCCACCAATGTACCGTCAGGTGAACTTTCTCAAGTTTGAAATTCTTGTAGTATTTTCATAAAAACTGATCTGTCTAGTGATCTTCAGAGAAATATGATTGAATATATATTATATGCACACTGTTGTGGATGGGTTTTCTTTGATATTTGTACAAAAGGTCTACAAGGACCCCTTTAAAGTGTTCTTTTATGGGACCTACTTGGAAATATTCCTCAAAGTAACCAAGTGATTGATCAAAGCTTATGTACAGCTCAAAATGGTCAACACCGGTTTATGTGGAGTTCACAAGCGCTAAAAGATCTTTATGCTATTTAGCTTTATCTTTATGATTCATCTTACAAGACCATCGAATAGTTTTCTCTATAATTCTTGCCTATAAATTGATTAATAAGTTCACATAATAAGATCAGCTGGGTGGGTTAACTACACAAGGAAAATGGTCAGCGTGTGAACCTTGGGACTGGGTCGCTCTTCTGTCTGCCAAGTGCCTCTCTGCACTTCTCAAATGAAATCGGATATCGGTAAGAGAGAGAGAGAGAGAGAGGCAGGCGCCCACGCCAAAGTAAATGCCATAGACAGTGAGAGAGAGCGAGTGTTGTGGCAGTGCCCCCCATATACGGCATGGGACAATGCTGCGTATACGTAATACGCCGCGCAGCTGTATATATGCATTGCGCATACGCACTGTAGCCCCGATAGGAGATCGTACGAGAGAGAGAGTGTGCGTTTGTGTGGGCGACTCGAATGGATTTATGGAACAGATGCCAGACATGCACACGCACACCTACATATACACAAATATGTGTATCTATATGCAACTCTGTTTATATCTACAACGGTGGATACATATATAGGACAATCGAAATGATGTCAGAGACCATTTCCATTTCCATTTCCATTTCCACTTCCAATCGCATTTCCAGTTCCAGTTCCTTGAGCTCACGTCTCGTTCTGTTCTCTTTCTTTATTTTGCAGTAACTAAAAACAGAAATCAAAATGGCTGATGATGAGGTGAGGTGAGTATCGTAAGGATGTGGTGAACAACCAACAATGCATGTGACCCGCGACTAACCTTTGGCCTTCTTCTGCAGTAAAATTTCGATGTGAAACAAAAAAACACAAAGGGCTTTGTCCCACGCCGCCTGGATGGGGACTCGGTCTGTGGATTGGCACGAGCTTGGACGGGACTGAAACCGCCGGGGACCTGGGGATAACTGTGGTAAGCATAACCTCTCCACCCTCTAGCCCAACCCTGCTCTTGCCCAGCTAATCTTAGCCAAGTGCCTCGCCCTAACCACAGACCACAAAAATGCTTTCTCTTGCTTACCCACAGGATCGCTGAGCTTTCTCCTGCCTTTGCCTTTGCCTTTGCCTCAGCCCTGCCCGTCAAGTCCCCACTCTGACCGAGGAGCAGCAGTCAGCACTGTTAACTGATAACTATCGAGTTGATTTATGTTATCGTTAGTGCGTGTGTGTCTGTCTCTGTCTTTGTCTTTGTCTATGTCCCTGCTTCTAGCTGTGCCAAAACCGTTCGTTTATGCGTGAGAAATAATTGCAAAAAGTGCAGCAAAAGTGTGAATACAATACAGTGAGGTGTGTACTCACTGACATCCAATTGTTGACCATTTAGGATGATGTTTACACGAGTGTGATCATCGCTCACTCTCTGCAATCTTCGCACGCATAAACCAAATCTCGCCATACGAGATCCAAACTAAAGTTTCTGTTCTTTGTTTTTTTTTCAGAAAAAGGCAGCTGCTCCCGCTGCTGCACCAGCTGCGGCTGCTCCGGCTCCGGCTGCGGCTGCAGCTAAGCCGGCAGCGCCAGCTGCCAATGGAAAGGCGCCAGCGGCTAATGGAAAGGCGCCGGCGGCTAATGGAAAGGCGCCGGCAGCAGCGGCCGCGCCCGCCGGCCCGCCCAAGGATCCCAACGATCCGAAAGTGAAGGCCGAGGAGGTACACTTGTGTACGTGTGTCCACGTTACCTCAACGTCCCGCGTCCCGCGTCCATGTCCACGTTCACGTCCCATGATGAGTCCCCGCCATGAAGAGTGCTGTGTGCCGTGTTGTGTGGTGTTTGATCCGGATAGGGGATTCGGCTACGTTCCGGCCATAAAGGGCTGGAACTGGAGCTGATCCCGCTGTCCCGATGTATATGTTTGACGGTATTACTGACGATGGTCGACTTTGTTTTTTTCTGGATGTTTGTTTGCAGGCTAAGAAGGCTAAACAGGCTGAGATCGAGCGCAAGCGTGCTGAGGTGCGCAAGCGCATGGAGGAAGCCTCCAAGGCCAAGAAGGCCAAGAAGGGTTTCATGACCCCAGAAAGGAAGAAGAAACTCAGGGTAAGTTCTGGGCCGCAATGATCCGCCGTGATGAATCTTAATCCCTGTTCAATGCTCTCCTCCCCCTCTACAGTTGCTGCTGCGTAAGAAAGCCGCTGAGGAATTGAAGAAAGAACAGGAACGCAAAGCGGCTGAACGTAGACGCATCATTGAAGAACGTTGCGGCAGTCCCAGGAATCTCAGTGATGCCAGTGAAGGTGAGTTCCCCGGTCCACAGTGCAGTGGTCCAAACCGTAGAGCGCGTCCCAAGAATACCATTGAGTTCGGTGGGGAGGTGCAAGGAAACCCCACACATAAATATGTCAGATCAAATCGGATCACAGTGGGCTTCCCTGCAGCTCCCCTCACGCTAAAGAAATTCCCCTAAAAGTATTAATGAATGACGAATATAAAGCGAATCAATCAATAACCAGGGTCCACACAGATTGGCGACATATGTACAGTCGCAAATCTGTGTGCCCAGAGGCATAAACAGAAATCGATAATTGAAAGTTGAACAAAAAGTGTCATCTGTCACGTACGCACACCCACACATGTACTACATGAACTACATCCATACAGCCATACAGAGACACTTGCACACTGCATAAACACCTACACACGCACACATATACACGATTGTGCATACATAAACTGCAGGAGCCAAAAAAAGAAAAAGCAACAACAAACAAAAAGTGGAGGAAGCAATTTCGAATGAAGAATCAAAACGAATCGATTCGAATCGAAATGAATCTATCTATAAATAACTATCTAAATATGTCTCTCTTTATCTCTCTTTTGCCGTACCCCCCGAAATATCTATCTGTATCCATACACCCACACACCAACACCAACACCAACACACCAAACACCCACACAAACATCCCACAAAAACAAAACAAAAAACCAACACCAACACCAACACCAACCAACTCCCAACCATTCTGTGATGTGATCTTCTGTGATCGACACAGACACACTGAAAACTCTGATCAAGCAACACTATGACAGGATTAATAAATTGGAGGACCAGAAATATGATCTTGAGTATGTTGTTAAGCGCAAGGATGTTGAGGTACACACACAACCACAAGCTAAATATATGCCATACATATATGCTACATATATACGCTATATTTTCTACTATATATCTCTCTTCTATATATGCTCTATATATGCAAACTGCAACTAAAAATCGTATCCTATCCAAAACGAAGCCAAAACAAAAACAAAAACAAACAACAAGCGTCAAAATCAAAATCAAAAGTCTAAAACTTTTTAACTTTTAACAACAACAACAATAAACACCTTCTATTAGATATCTCTCTATCTCTCTACATCTAAACGCTATCTCTCTCTATATTCTCTCTTTATCTCCCTCTCTCACTCTCTCACTCTGTATTATACACGCGATGTTTTTGCGGAGAGTGAGTGCCCGCCCTATGATCTATACTCCTAACGCACCAAAAACTGTACAGAAATACCACTTCTACTCACCCGATTAACGTAGATCTAGGGACAGATCTATCTGTCACTTTTCCCCCACTTATCGAAGCGATCCATCGTTCGATACCTTGATTCTTTATCAGGTTCAGGTGCCAGAGCACCATATCAAATAGGTTATTCCCACACAGCGTAGATCTCAAACACAACTACACACGAAAACACTCGTTCCCATAAATACACCCACACACCAATCTATATACACATATATACATATATATATATCCTCGAACACACAGCCAAAGCTGCAATCTATAAGATTTACATACATATAACCCAACTTCGTTCCGCAGATACCATTCAGAAAGTCTGTCACGACTATCACACTAAGATACTGAAATTGGAATCTGAGAAATTCGATCTCGAGTACGAGGTAGCCAGAAAGGACTTTGAGGCAAGCAGTTCCAGTTTCCAATATCACATATCTACCCGACCAACAAAGCTTCGAGTCGAGTGTTGCGTTGCACTCGCTCTCTCTTTCTCTCTCTCTCTCTAATTATTTATCTTCAATATCTTGTAGAACTTGTCGATAACTCTTTACTGTTTGATAGTTTCTTGGCCATAGCCACAGCTACAGCTACAGCCACAGCCGCACCGAAAAACCGTTTCAGCCCAAAAGATATATGCAAATATTTGTGGCCCAGAAGGCCAGGCCTGATCCACCATAAGTGTGTGTGTGTGTGTGTCAGACTGTTGTCCGGCGGACAACAAAACCCAAAAAAAAGCAATACTCTGCAGCACATTGCACATTGTAGTAGTTGGCCAGAAACCGTAGATAACCCCAAAAGTAGTCTTCTGTATTTTTGTGACTATTTTGTTGTTCCTTTTTATGGAGAGAGCTGTGCAAACAGGACCCCCACATTCGACATGTTTGCGCACTTCCACCAGTGCCCGCTCCAGTGGCGGGTGTCTCATCCATCCCTCACACTCTTAAAAACCCAAAGTATCTAGAAAGTAGAGGCCCGAGTCGCTGCCGCTAACCTCTAACCCCTAACCAAAAGATGCTATCCACCCATCAGATCCGCTCCAAGCGGGTCGAAAGTAACGCCACCGCTTCCCGAGAGTACAGTTACTAACCCCCAATCCCAATCCCACCCCGAGTAATGCCAAGTGCCATACAAATGCTGACGATAACTATTTTTGATGTCACTGTATTTGATTGGATTTTTTTGCTTTTTGCGGCTTTTTTACTTAGCCTATAGCTAAAGCTTTTTTTGTGGCTACCGAGTTTTTTGGCTTTTGTATCGTAGCAATCAATACATTCGATATGTTTAAGGCAATTTTTGTGATTTTTGATGAACAAAAGCTTATACTAAAACTTAAACATAGAAAACAAAATAGAAACCCATCCAAATGTAACGAAGAATGCGGTGAAAAAGAGACACGCAGCAAATAATGGTAGGGGTCATTATTAGTGTGACCAGAGCACAGGCTTTGGGTCTAAGTACAGTCATCCAAAGAGTACAGTCACGCACCGAGCCACAAGCACCAAGCACCACAGCCCTCGCAAGCACCAACAACGACACACAGCAACAGAAACAGCCACAGACACAGCCAGACACATAGACACAGAACAGACACAGCCACAGATGCATATATATATACAGACACCGATACAGATACCAGACACTTCATGTGGTACAAAATACCATCAAAAAGGTACCAAAAGCAAAGAAAGAAAAAATACCAAATACCAACCAATACGATCGTCTATCACATATAGTACATATTTACATAGGTGATAAAGATCCAGTTGTAACTTTACTTTTATATTAATTAAATCTTAATCTAATCCTTCTTTTTCTCGAAACGCGCCAATCAAACAATCAATCAATCAATCAATCAAACGATCAAACGAACAAACAAACGAACGAACAATTCAAATCAAACAATTAAATGCGTCGTTGTCGTCGTCTCTATCTCTCTCTCTCTCTCTATCTCTATCTATCCCTGTCGCTACCTATCTAACTCTATCTCTATCTCTTTTTATCTCTATCTATATCTATATCTGTCACTGTCTTCACTTCTATCTCAACGTCACTCCTCTTCTCTCTCTGTCGCTCCACACCTCTCTTTCTCCGACACAACAAAACACCTCAACACAACCCATTTCTCTCTCTCTCTCTTTAAATCTTTCACTCTATCTCTTTATATCTATCTCTATCTCTCTTTCTTTGATTCGTACCTTACACACCACCCACGCACACGCTCTCGCACACACACAACCGCAACGACACACGCACACTCGTACACGTACACGAACATTTGTCGTAACGTAAAAATTCTCAATGCGTTACGCTTGACGTAAACGTCGATTCGATCGTTTACCGCAAACGTTACCGCTTACTCGTAACCGCTACCGTTACCGTACTACCGTTACCGTAACCGTTACCGTTACCGTTACCGTTTACCGCAGCCGAGCTGCAAACAATATGCAAACAATATTGGCAACGCCTTTACGCATTGGAGGGCGATAAGTTTGATTTAGAACACGTGCAGAAAGTCAAGGCCCAAGAGGTAAATTCCCCAAAAGATTTACAAAATTTTGCCATGCACCCAAACTATCAAAAAAAGTTATACCAAACGAATACTTAAAAAAAAAACGAAAACAAAAAATGAAAACCAAAATCGAATGTTTTTTTCTTACTTTTTCTTATCAAGCAAAAACCAAAATATAAGATATTTTTATATATAAATCGATTATTAATCATAATTTTTTTACTTTACAATTATGCCCTTGATATTTAATTACTTGATTTCATTTCTAAATATTTCCTAATCATATTTTTAGTTCTTTCTACTGCGATACTTCTTTTCTTTTACCTAATTTTGATATTGTTTTAACTGCGCTAAACTACAGAACCAATTTTAAGAGAGAGATCTTCTCGAATCGACGCGTGCTTCAAACAGTTCGGAATGGGAGATACTTTCCAAAACCCCCCCTGGCCCATGCGCCAAGTAATAATGTGTATATAATCGTTGTACATCAAATGCCCAAGGACCATTGCCCATTGCGTTCTGGAAACTGTCTCCCCTTACCGCCCCAAAGCCCCACATCCCCAAAAGCCAGGTCTTCGGCATCGCCGAATTAAAGCGAATTAGGAACAATTTTGAGGTGAAATTTCAATTAAATGTCCATTTTGAACTAAACTAATAAACAGACGCGACCCCAATCAAGTAACGCTCTCTTCCGCTCCGCTCCGCTCCGATCCGATCCGATCCGCTCAGCTCCATTCCGCTCGTTCCGTTGCGACTGCGCACCAGAGTTGCGACTCTCTCCAACCCTCAATCTCCAATCTGCAATTTGCAATCTTGAATCAGAATAGAATCCATCAGAACCAAAACCAAAACCAGGTCCAATCGAAGAAAGAAAACTCATCGAACACATAACATCTAATGAAGCTGCAAAACAACAAAACGATTAAATATCGATAAGCAACGAACAATTGCGATAAACCAAAATAAAACTCTATAAACAATAAATGCAATCATAATTACTTTTAGCATTATGTACTTAGTTTTAGAATTTTGAAAGCCAATCTGTCGATATGACTAGCCGATAAGAATAAGAATTTGAATTTGACTACAACAAAAAAAAAAAAACAAAACAAAAATCAAACCAAACCAAAACCCAATTCCGAAAAAATACAATATTTTGCAGGCGAATTGCAAGAGATTTGCGAAGAGTATTACGAGCGTATGTATATTTGTGAAGGCCAGAAATGGGATCTGGAATACGAAGTCAGGAAAAAAGACTGGGAGGTACTGCACCAATTTCAATTTCAATTTCAATTACAGTTTCAATTTTTCAATTTGTTCTCAATCAATCAATCAATGTCAAAAAAAAACTCTAAATACAAAAGAACAAACCAACCAACCAAACCAACCAACAAACAAAACAATTCAATCACTCCAGACAGAATGCAACATGCAACAAAAATCAATTAAATCAAAATCAATATCAATATCAGTTACCTAATCTAATCTTGAGTTCTATCTAGTATCATGTTCGTTTCCGTTTCCGTTTCCGTTCAGTTCCGTTGTTTCTTTCTTACTTGTTGAATGCGCATCAAAATATATCAAATAAATCTCTTAGTTTGTATCTGTTAGTTATACTTGACTGTTCCACAAACACACTCTCTGTCTCTCTATCTCTTTATCTCTCTGCCTCTCTGTATCTCTGTCTCTCTGTGCGTGCCCATGTGTGCTTTCGTGTCCCTTTGTTCGCACCAAGTACTCCTTCGTTTCATTCGGCAAGCACACAATTAGCCGAATGGTGAGTGCTGAGAACGAAGATTGAATGATGATTGCCATCGATTGAATAACGTCCTTACGTGAGCAGTGTGGCCAATCTCAGTTGCAGTCCAGCTCCAGATCCAGTCCAGTGTGGCCATTTCTGACCATAAAGTGAGGTTATGCTTCAACCGCCATTTCCCTAGCATCCACAACACACACACGCGCACATATATAAAGTCGCAGTCACCTGCTGTACTCTCTCTCTCTCTCTCTCTATCTCTATCTCTATCTCTATATATCTATCTATCGGGCAATCCTCATCAGCCACACCACACCTCAATCAATCAATTAATCAAACAGTCAGTCAGTCAGTCAATCAGTTTTAGCCTTAGTAAATTGCACAACAACAACAACAACAACAACAGCAAGATAACTAATTTGTTGCACAATTTGTGAAATTTGTTTTGTGTGTGTGTTTTTTTCTCTTTCTTTCTTTTGTTTTTTTTTTTTAAATAACAAATTTGTTTGTGTCGCTGTCGACGCGCTCGTTATTACTGTCATTACTTGCACCTTAGTCCGTTTTGTGTCCGTTGAGCCGCTCTTGGGGGCAGGCCACACCAACAAGCAAACACACACAGACACAAACTACACACCGCAACACAGTTACAGTTACAGTTACAGTTACACAGTATACAGTTAACAGCCACACACGCACTCTCTTTCTTCACACGTAAAACGCACGCATACAATGGAACCACGCACGAGCACTCATAGTAGGCGACATTTTGCATGCAGCAGCAACACAAGAAAACCAAACAAAAAAATACCAAAAATAAAAAATACCTCCCACATCCTCCCAGACCTTCAGCCCAGCCCAGACCCTGTACCTGTACCTGTACCTGTACCTGTACCTGTACCTGTACCTGTACCTGTACCTGTACCTGTACCTGTACCTGTACCCTCTTCCGAACCATCCAACCAGCCGCACTTCATTGTAAATAGTGTTCTGTGTAAATTACTCCTATTATCACTCACACATGTGTCTCTCTCTATCTCTATCTCTGCGTCTATCTCGCTCAATCTATCTCTCTGTATCACTTTCTTTCTCTGCGTAAGCCAAGAATTAAATAAGCGAAAGAGAAGGAAAAAAAGAAAAGAAAAAAAAAACGAAAATCAAATCAAAAATTGAAGAGCATAAAAGCCAAGCGTCGATTACTTCTTGAAATGATCCACTACTTAATGCTAGCCGTTTTGCCCACTAAATGTGACCGATTACCGATAACCGATAACCGATTTACCGTTTACCGTTACACAAAACCTGCCAAAAACGTCCAAAAAGCGAAAGCAAAGCAAGAACCAGCGTGCGCAGCTGAAACAAACAAATCGAAAGAAAAAACAATAACGAGAAAAGAAAAGAAAAGAAAGCAAAGCAACACAAAACAAGCGATTGACAATCAGTGAAAAGGAAGGCAATGGAATGCATTTGCTGCCCCTAGGAAATAGCGTTACGATCAGCAGTACCTCAGCCCAGTCAGCCCCTCCCCCAGTTAGAGACCACCGCCCCCATCCAGCAGATGACAATTCGGTTTACCGTTTCCGTTTCCAGTTTTACAGTTACTAGGGTGTAGGGTGAACGAACTTTTACGCTCAATATAGCCATTGTCTCTCACACATTCTCCCAATCTTTATATCTCTCTCTGTGTCTCTCTGTCTCTCTGTCTCTTAATCAATCACACTGTCTCTCTCTCTCTCTCTCGCTATCTATCTCTGTCTATCACTGTTAACCGATTGTGGTACGATATGTGTGTATATATTTATGTATAAACGAACAATACTCTCTATAAAACTACAAATAAAGCATTAAAAAAAGCAAAAGAAATCGACATTTGGATGTTATGCTGTTCAATCTACGAAAGAAAATTCGATCATAAGAAAAGCAAACGTTTGTCCACCCACCACCAACCACCAACCACCATCACCAAAAGCCAAAAGGCATAAGCCAATGCCAAAAAAATGCACCAAAAACCAGTACCAGCAATAGTACCAGTACCAGCACCAGAACCACTCTTCCATGCCAAAAAAAAAATATATATATATAAGAACTTCCCCAAGTAGTAGACGAATTAGAAAATATAGAACTTGGCTCGAATCGCCTGCTCGCTCGCTCGTTCGCTCGCTTGCTCGCACTTTCTCACTCACACAACAAAAAAAAAAGCACGCCCTAGTCTAAGCATTACCTGTAGTATTTGGTAGACTATTATGATCTATGTACGCATCCTATGTCTATGTGAGCATCCAGTGTTCTACCAGAATTACCCGTTTCCTGTGCATGCCTGCTCTTCCACGTACTTATACTTCCAGCATTTTGATTTTGATAGTTGCCCGCCCGTAGCAGTAGCATTTATGTGTCCGATAAACAGCAGTGTCTATCGCGTGGATCGAGTGTACTAATCGAATGACTTTTCTCTTCCCCATTTCAAACGCGTAAATACAGATCAACGATCTCAATGCCCAAGTTAACGATCTTCGCGGCAAGTTGTAAGTATTTCCTCCGCAGACTGAACCTGATTCGAGGTCGAGCAATTACTAATCGATCATCCGTTTCGATTATTTCAGCGTCAAGCCAGCCCTGAAGAAGGTCTCCAAATACGAAAACAAATTCGCCAAGCTGCAGAAGAAGGCCGCTGAGTTCAACTTCCGCAACCAACTTAAGGTCGTGAAGAAGAAGGAGTTCACACTGGAGGAGGAAGAGAAGGAGGTAAGTTCTGTGGGAAGAGCACCCAATTGGGTCTCTCTCTCTCTCTCTCTTTCTCTCTTATTCTCTCTTTGGGCCTGGGGCGCATCTGATATCTGTAATCTTTCTATATGCCACGATCTCTCTTCACGACCACCAACCACTACGAAAAATGTCACACATTGCCATCTGCGTTTAGAAAAAGATAAAAGATGCCGCTGTGCTGACAAAAGCCAAAAAGTGTAAGAACTCTGAGTGTGTGTGTGCTCCACCCGTCTGTAATCGTATTTTGTTCGTTTTTCTTGAGCACCTGTGTGTACCGCACTGTAACCCACTCTGTCTTTATCTTTGTATCCATCTCTATCTCTATATCCATCTCAATCTATAGCCGCACACACCACCGATCTCCGATGCATATGTAGTAGTTACATATCTGTCCTCTATGTATCTGTGAAGTGCTCCGATTGTAGCCGTCTGTAGTCATTAGTTTAGTCACACAATCACACACGACACCTTTTGAATGTACTGTACACACCACAAAGTAGTTTAGTGTCGGCACAATTGTTGGTCTACCTCCAACCGCCAACCGCCACCGAGCATACCCACTGTTTCCTGTTGGCTTCCACCACATGCGATTCTCTTACTAATTCCAATGTATTTTTCTCGTTTATTACACCATCATCATCCACATGCACATCCTTGGCGGACGAGCAGAAGAAACCCGACTGGTCCAAGGGCAAACCCGGCGATGCCAAGGTGAAGGAGGAGGTTGAGGCCGAAGCTTAAGTGTCCACACGTCCACTAGTGTCCACTGACCCGTGACTCCCGCCCTAAACAATAATTGAGATTATTATACAACAATTTTCTGAAGCAATACAATTTATATAATTCTATTAAATATATATATATATCTACAAATATATATACATCTATATACATATATTCATGTATATATCTCGCCATATATATGTGTGCCATATGAATATGAACAGAATGAAGTCAATAAACCAAAACAGCAACAACTAAAACCAACTCAAGCTCACAGTCAAACTGAATGTCGGTTCACTATTTAAATATTTAACAAAGTATCAACATCAAAATCAAAATCAAAATCAAACTCAATTGCTTCACAGCCAAACAACAAAACAGATCAAATAATTCAGCTCGATCAATCGGATCAAACAACAGCCCAACATCAGAACACTTTGATGGCTGAATTATGGATTATATTTCATTATTTACAAATTATATTTTTTAATGTAAATTAAATTAAATTACAAAAAAAAAAAAGAAACAAACACCGACACGCGTATCGCACATTATTTCTCTATTGATATTTGTGACCTTATTCGTTATTTCCCATTTCCATCTCTGCACAGCCAGCAGACGGGAAACCAGAGCCATTAGCGATTATTTCACTTACATCGAAAGAATGGGAGATGTACGTAAACCGTGATGGGCAGAAATATGCGAAGTTGTTCCCGAGCGGAGAAATAGGCACAGGGGTTAAATGCATTTTATTTATTTTATTCACACATTTGTTCCATGTCAGTGGAAAATGCTTTAAAAATGTCTTTGCGCGCCTCCGTCTAGACTCTAGAGTCCATGCGCGCGGGAGTTGGCGTTGAAATTTCCATTGAATATAGCAGGGCATTGAGTATGCTTGCTGCAAACACTCAACAGCTAGGCTACACAAACCAAAATTCGAGCTACAGTTGACGTTGAATCGTGTTCTTCAATTTGATTTCCGAATATTCGTGCAAAAATGTCAAAATTTGTACCCAAATCCAATTGGGTTCGTAGGTTCTGCAAGCAATACGGAAAGAATTTTTTCGTAGAGGTGGACCAGGAGTTCATGACAGACAACTTCAATCTCTTATTCCTGGAGGGTGAGAATTATCAGAGGAGCCTCAATGTGATCCTCAACGAGTCCGAGTCCGAGTCCGAGCCCGATGCTGAACACAATTACGATATGGAGGCCGCTAAGCTCTACGGGCGTATCCACTCCAGATTCATTCTCACAGATCACGGCATCGAACTGATGTACCAGAAGTTCCAAAAAGGCGTCTTTGGCACATGTCCACGCGTCTTATGCACTCGCCAGAAAGTCCTTCCCATTGGCATGAGCGACACACCTGGCAAAGAAATGGTGCGTCTCTACTGCCCCAAGTGCAAAGAGGTGTACATACCAAAATCTGTTCGCTACGCCAAGATCGACGGCGCCTACTTTGGCCCCAACTTTCCCCAAATGCTATTCATGGCCAAGCCATGGGCACAACCCAAGCGCTCCAAGGCCAAGTATGTGCCCAGGTCGGTTCCCGCTATTGTCTATTTATCAATTCTTTATTAATGTACCCTTTGGATTCCATACGCAGACTGTTTGGCTTCAAGATTCATCCCCAGGCATTTGGCTCTGAGTCCTCTGACCGTCAGGAAGCTGATAATTAAGCGTACCCTGAGCGCCCTGCCCCAACCAAATTGCTTTAGAACTACATGGATGGTCTACAATCGATTGTGCTCCCCATGGACTCTCTCTCCACTCTCTGCTCTCATGCGAATCGAACATAAAACTTAAAATTAAAATCCCACATTCGAAACATGCAATATGTTTGATACTTGTGTTTATTTCTCTTACGAAAACCCGTCTGTGTGGTTTGTCTATCGTTTAATGGATGATCTTACAGCTAAAATAGGATGCGTGCTGGATGGATGGATGGATGTGGTGTGTGTGTGTGTGTGTGTGTGAATGGATTACACGGTTATGCACGATAATGCAGTAGACAAAATTAGTTACAATTTACTGTGTGTGTGCGTGTGTGTGCGACTACTGCGAGTCAGCGTTAGGATAGTCGCTTGTCTTAATGAACTAATTCGAGTCAATCAATAAATAACACTAATCCTACACTATCCTACGCGAGAGGAAGATGCATTAAAAACCCCAATGGGGTGGAAGCATCCATCAATGACCGATCAAAAAAAATACGTGTTTAAATAAAAACTTATAACTAAATAGAATATTTCTACTGACTATCAGGGGCCAAGGAGATTAACAAGAAACAAGAAAAAAAATATGTAGAATAATTTGCAGGCCTGGGTCGTAATGGTCGTAATGGTAAACGTAATAATACACATTATATATATGATATAAATGTCGCTAATGCTAAAACTCGTGTCTAGTGTCTCGTGTCCTTAGGCTTCTGCTGGTTCCTGCTGCCTGCTCCTCCACCTACACCTCAATACTGTTGAGACTGCCCGACGAGATGTTGTCCGTGTGGCTGCCGAGACGCGTTCGCTTGATCATCGCACGGCTGGGCATTGGCGAGCGTTGGACGCGCGGACTGCCGGGCACAATCGGTATGCCGACCAGACCCTGGTGCCCCTGATGATGGTGCAGGTGCTGGTGGTGTGGCGGCAGGTTGTTGTTGTTATTGTTGTTGTTGTGATGCTGATGGTGGTTCAGATTGAGATTGCTGTGGCTGTTGTGCTGGCTGCCCGAGGCGCGTCTTTGTCGCCGCAGCGAGGGTATACGCGAGGGTGTGGGAGTCCCATCCTCTGGGAATCCACCTCTATACGACGACTGTTGGTGCTGCTGCTGCTGCTGCTGAAGTCCACGCACACTGCGCTCCAGCATGGGCGAGGGACCGCAGACTCCAGGATGATGAATGGGCGCCTGCTGTTGCTGTTGGTAGTAGGAAGCGTGTGGCGGCACTGGCGGCGGCTGTTGCTGCTGCTGCTGCTGGTGATAGTCGAGGCGTTTGTGCAGCATAGTGGGCGTGCCGGGCGGATGATACGGCTGGGCATGGTGCAGCCCGCTCTGGTGCATGGCTGCCACAACGCCAGCGTTGCCCTAAATGGGATAATAGAAGAGAGAATCAATGGATAAGTAGGGGTTCGACTAGGGGATCCGGGTGCTGCTTTTGCTGAGCGAATGCTGGGCGAATGGATGACATCATGGACAAAAAAACAATCTCAACATGGTTGGGTTGGTATTTACGTTTACTGGCTTGCCAGAGCTTGAACCAGAACCAGCACCAGCACCTGCACTTGCAGTGGCTGTGGTGCCAGTGCCGACGGATGTGGATTTCTTGGGCAGCGGCGGCAGCGGCTTGCTGGGAGCGTCCATCGATGGTTCTTGCTGCTGCTGCTGCTGCTGTTGTTGTTGCTGCTGCTGGCTGATGCCATCGCAAGCCTCCAATGTCTCGCAGGAGGATGAGGCCACTGCTTGGAGGGCATCCTCTTCTTCGCCCACCTCCTCAGGGCCGTTGCAGTGGATCCCATTGCCATTGCCATGGCCATTGGCCAGAGGCGGCATGAAGCGCAGCTCCATGACGTTGCGGTTCTAGAACATTGGACGCAGAGTTTGGCGATGGGGGAACACACAGAACACAGATGACAGACAGAATACAGACAGCCCAGAAGCAGCCAAAAGAGAGAGAGAGAGAGAGAGCAGGAAAGAGACAGAGAGCACAGTGGCACAAGCGAGTCAGACAGAGACAGGAATAGACTAGGCACGAGTCAGGCACGCTTCCAAATCCAAAATTTTGTGTGTTTTTTTGTCGTTGTTTTCTTTTGTAATTTTGACCAACCAACCATCGAAAAGTTTTGCGTGTTTTGTTTTTTCCGAACAGATTTCAGATGTGAAGCCAAATGAAAGGGTAGAATGGAGACTCTCCTTGGAGATACTCACCTTGTCGGAGGCAGCGTCCTGCGCCAGCGGATTTGGTGTGATATTCATGCGTGGAATAACGCCATTGAGGCGTCGCACATCCCCGCCACTCTTGTGGTGTCCGCCCACCCCCAGCACGGCGGAGGTAACAAAATCCGCTTGTATATGATCCAATTGCGGCTTGTTCTCATCTGCGGGCGAAATCAGATTAAATACTGACAAAATCGCTTGATTAAACGGCGGGACTCACCCTCTGGCTGGGAACTCTTGCGACGACGCAGGCACAGGCAGGCAACAACAGTGGCAATCAGCAGTAACAGTCCGCCGCCGGCGGCACCGGCAATCACCGGGTAAAGGGAGCTCTGCGACGGCTTGCCCTGGTTAGCGGGCACCATCAGGGGCGTTGTGGGCGAGGCTGTCGGTTCATTTAGCTCTGCAAGAGAAGAGAAATCAATGAAAAGGACTGACCAAAAAAGGGAGTGGCGAGCGCAATACTCACTCTTGGTCCGCGCCTGACGAATGGCACTGAACTCCGAGGCCGCATGGGCATTGAATGTCTGCAGCTTGAACTCGTAGGCGGTGCCCGGACGGAGCATATCGATCTTGAAACGGCGCGTATGGCCGCCATCTACAGTCGCCTTCAAGTACTCGCCCGCCGAGTCAGTGGGCCTGTAGTAGGCATAGTAGCCATCGATGCTGCCGTCGGCTGGGGAGCCTGCGGCTGTTGCAGTGGCACTGGCAGCTGCAGCCGCCAGGGTCCAGTGCAGCAAAACTGCAGACTCCGAGTAGGGCTCCACGTCGCCCAGATCGGGAACCGGCAGATTCGATTTGGCCACGCCTCGCTCTAGAAAGAACTTGAGCGAGGTGTTGCCCTCCTTGTTGTCGTTGTTCGAGTATACGGCCACGATGCGGAATCGGTAATACCGATCCGGTCGCAGTCCCGTCACCGACGACGTGAAGTTCTTGGGTCCGACAGCTGCTTCATGCTGCTGTTGGTCCCGGTCCCGTTCTCGTTCGCGGTCGTGGCGGTCGCGTCCGCGCATTGGCTTCCAGTAGCCGTAGGGGATGTTCTCGTTCGTGGTCTGCCAATTCTCGCGTGGAATCTTGCGGAAGCTGTCGCCGAGCATACGATACTGCACCTTGAAGAAGTTGATGGCGAGGCCGTCGTTGCGCGGCACGTTCCAGCGCAGCATGACGGCATCGTCGGCCAAACGGGTCACGTTGGGTCGTGACGGTGGCACCATGTCTGCAATGGATATCCATATTTATTATTATTTTCATTTCATTTGAAGAAGAAACACTCTTTAAAAGTAACGGTCACACTTTTTGTGCCCATTTAGGGTTGCCGGACACGACAGTAATCGATATAGTCGAACATCTACCATGTTCGATGATTTTGAATGACTCTGAATTGAGTTAAAATTGCTGCTGTTTGTCCGTTAGAAATGTTTATACCGAGAATGTATCAAAAACTTTTAAATTATAAAACAGGTAATCTTTAGAAAGTCTCATCGTTCGTGTTTAAGAGCATCTTGGAAACGGAATTTCAGCATTTATTAATGAAACAAGGTATTCAAAGGGCCATACTACCGGGTGAAAAGCCAGAATTCTTAAAATGGCGTAACATTTCAATCCGACTCCTTACATTTCATTCTTACTTAAGTTTTGAGGTTTCTAATTAGCTGTTTAAATTACATAGAATATGAAATTCGAGCAAAATAATATAAGATTCGGTATATATACGGTATATTTTGAAATTAAGAAGGTATCTTTCGGTATATTTTCGAGGGTCATGCGGTATATTTTATCGATAAGTCAGCGGTCACACTGGATAAAATCGTCTGCAAGTCCGTTCGACAACAATTGCGCGGAAATTCGGGGGAAAAATTCGCATGCAATAAATTGAAGCGATGCGCGCCGCCCCAATCTGTAATGTGATTTGTCTTTAGCTAATTAGCGTACATCGTACGATGAAGTGTAGATATATTAAGTGCAATAGCAACATCGAAACAGTGCAAAGACGGTCGAAAGACGAGTGAAAAAACGACTCACAAATAGACACTCAGCAGCCACACAGCGCTGCCACCTGTGTGTGTGTGTGTGTGCGTGTGAGCATTTTTCGTGTGTATAAGGAAAACGAGTGCAATTGATTTTCGAGCGAGAGTCGAACTCGGAAACCGAGTCCGAGTCCGAGTCTGAATCGGAGACCGAAACCGAAATCGAGACGTCGGACGCCAACCCACTCAAAACAAACGGCGGGAAGAAGAAGTGGAATGTCTGCAGCGGTGGACGGTGCCGCAGGAGGGGGTGGGGGTTCAGCGAACGGCGGCGGCAGCTCTGCCGGTGACAATGGCGGCAGCACCAACGCATCGGGCGGAAACGGTGGCTCGAATAAAACACATCTACCCCTCACGCCGCGCTTCACACCCGAGGAGAAGGAGGTCCTCTACTCGCTCTTCCACCTCCATGAGGATGTCATCGACATCAAGCACAGAAAGAAACAACGCAACAAGTACTCCGTCCGCGAGACCTGGGACAAGATCGTACGCGACTTCAATTCTCATCCGCATGTCAGTGCCATGCGAAACATCAAGCAGATCCAGAAATTCTGGCTCAACTCGAGGTGGGTCACCCTCTCCCTTGGGTGAAGTAAATTCTTCTCTAAGACTAATCCGAATCGATCGCTCTTTCTCTTTTAGGCTCCGCAAACAGTATCCGTATCGCGAGAGCTCCTCCGCTTATAGTGGAGGTGGCGGCGGCGGCGGTGGAGGTGGCTCTGGCAGCGGCCGAGTGGCCAAACAACAGCGCACTGTCGCGGTCAAGGTGGAACCCGATTTCGTCATCAGCCCCGATGAATCGGAGCCCAATGCGCAGGGCGACACATTCGATGAAATCGAAATGGACGCCAACGATGTCAGCGATGACATCGAGGAGGATCCCATAGAGGTGCAGCAGCAGCAGCAGCAAGCGCACGCACAGGCCGAGGCGGAGGCTCAGGCCCAAGCACAGGCACAGCAGCAACAGACGGCAGCCGTCGAAATGCAAAAGATGCAAAGTGTCGCAGCGGCGGCGGTGGCTGCCGTCAATGCCAATATGCTCAACACCCACCAGATCAATGTGGATCAGATCAGTGCGGAGAAGCTCACCCTCAACGATTTGCTGCACTTTAAGACGGCGCGACCGCGCGAGGAGATTATACTGCAGATCAAGCATCCCTCAGAAGCGACAGGTAGAACCACAGACTGCCGATCGGCATGCTCCTAACATATACTATAGATGCTCCCTTCTGCTCTCTGTTTTGCAGCCACACAGATCCATACGATACCCACGCAGGCGCAACAGCATACCATGGCCACCATCACGGCTGGTGGCTACAACCAGCAGATCATCAGCGAGATCAAGCCCCAGCAGATCACGCTCGCCCAGTACCAGGCCCAGCAGCAGCAACAGGCTCAGGCGCAGGCCCAGGCCCAGGCACAGGCCCAGCAGTTGGCACAGGCCCAGCAGATGGCGGCCGCCCAGCAGCAGCATTTGGCGGTTGCAGTGCATCACCAGCAGCAGCAGCAGGCGGCAGCCGTTGTCGTTCAGCAGCAGCAGCAACAGCAGGCGCAACAACAGCAGCAACAGCAGCAGCAGCAGGCGGCTGTGAAGATGCAGCTGACTGGCGGTACGCCCACCTTTACATTCAGCGCCATGCCCACGGTGACGGCGGCCACGGCAGTGCCTGTGGCAACCGCCACGATACCCAATGCAGGCAGTCCCGGCCGCAATGGATCGAGTTGCGGCGTCGGGACTGGTGGATCGACGGCTGGGGATGGCTACGAGGAGCGAATGAACTTCTTCAAGGTGCGGGAGGCTGAGCTGCGGTGCAAGGAGCAGCAATTGACCACCGAAAAGAAGCGCATCGAGCTGAACAAGGCCCAGGATGAGCTCAAGTATATGCGGGAAGTGCACCGGCTGCGCGTCGAGGAGCTCAAGATGAAGATACGCATTCTGCAGAAGGAGGAGGAGCAGCTGCGCAAGACCAGCAGCTCATGAGATGATCTTCTGGGGGATGCCAACGTGGGAGTAGCAGCTACAGAGGAAGAGCGCGAAGAACAGAGCATGGACGATGAGGATGAGGAGGATTACCCGCATGAGCACGAGCACGAGGATGAGGACGAGGACGAGGAGTACGATGAGGAGTATATGGATCGTTTTATCGGGGGTTTCTAGTCTGTAAGTTTTTACTATTTGTTCGTCTAAATGTCCCGCTAGTAGTTAAGAGGAATTTTTGAAAGGGGGTTGGGAAGGGGGCTGGCCAGCGACAATCGACCGTCTGGCCAGCCAACTATCGATAATTATCGATTAAGCAGCCATCACTTGAATGTACAGCGCAATGATCTATCGCACACATGAAAAATACAGAATGGGCGTGGCCATTCGCAATCCACGATGCAACAAATCCAATCAATCAATCATTTACTTACCCAAACGATTGTACTTTCGCTTGCCCTTGTTGCGGGATCCACCACCAGAGGACGATGAGGAGCCAGAGCCTGAGCCCGAACCAGATGAAGATCCGCCATTGGACGAATCGTGCGAAGAACGCATCGGCACATTGCCCAGTGTCTGGTAATCCTCGCCGCTGATCTGCAGCGGAGTCACACGCAGCATATTCCCCTCGCTGATCTGTGTGGTGGAGGAGGGAGAGCATGGGGATTAGAGAGTGTCTTGGAGGGAGTGTGGCTGCTCGCTCTGCTGCTTACCTCTCCCAGGGTATTCCTGGCAAAGCACTGCACCACCCCGGCATGCCGCTTCTGCACGTGATGGATGAGCAGGCTGCGGTTCTCGGCCAGCGTCTCGTTGTCGCTGCTCGCATCCTCGCCGTTGAGCAGCCAGTAGATCTCCGGCTGGGGATTGCCCGTGGCCGAGCACTCGAGAGTCAGGGAATCGCCCTCGGTGGTAAGCGTGGCCGCTGGGCCGCGCAGTATGCTGGGACGCTCCAGCACCTGCAGCTTGATCATGTGCACGCGCACAGGCGCTATGCCGTTGTCCAGGCGGCACACATAGGAGCCCTGATCCTCTGGCCGCACGTCGGTGATCTGCAGACCGTAGGCGAGCACTCGACTGCGATTGTGGTTGATGCTCGGCAGATTGGGACTGCTCCAGACGGCCTCTGGCCGGGGAGAGCCCACGCCGGGGCACTCCAGGACGATGGTCTCGCCGGGACGCGCCTGCAATTGGCTCGCCGGCTGCTGCAGGAAGTAGGGCTGCGTGCGGTCTGTGTAGTCCACCCGAAGGTCAATGACCTGCGGCAGGCGCACCTCCACACCCGTGATGGCATTGGTGGCCGCGCACGTGTAGTTGCCCGCATCCTTGGCACCCACGGAGCTCAGGACCAGGGCCCCGCCAGCGCCCGAAATCAGCATCTCCGTCTGTGGCAGCTTCTGCCCGTTCCGGTAGAAGCTCCAGATGGCCGGCGGACTGGAGGTAACAGTGCCGCATCGAATGAGAACACAATTGCGCGGCGCCACGCTCCAGCGTACCGCATGGGCGCGGCTGTAGCCATTGGGGTTGTCGATCGATATGGAGACTAGGGTGAGCCGAGCGGGCGTGGAGGCCAGCGCCCCTGGGCCGTACCAGGCGACACACTGGTAGTCGCCCACTGTCTGGGGACTCACGTAGATCCTCAGCTTCCAGGTGCGCTCCTCGTTGCTGTTCGTCACATTGTAGCCGCCGCTGGGCCGCAGATAGCGGTAGGCCACGGAGCCATTCTCCCGGAAGCGCCACTCTAGGCGATCCGGCTTCAGGTTCATCTCACACTCGAACACCACCTCATCGCCCTTGGGTGCCACCGCCGATTCGGGTGCCCGTTCGATATACACACCCAGCGTTGTGGGTGACGATGAGGAGGAGGTGCTGCTACTAAGAGCCAGGCTGAGGATGAGGCTCAGGGCCAGGCTGAGGGTTACCAGACGAGCCATGGCTCTGCCTTCCACGACTCTGAAATTATATAAAAGGAACGAACTGAATTGAATGGGGCACAGCACAGAATGGGAGCTTCAATTTTAGATTCTCTCTTACAGCGCAGCTTAGCAGCAAACGATTTTGATGCATGTCTGAATTGTGTGATTCGTTTCTTAAAAAACCTTCCTCTGATAATAGGAATCTGCATCGAATCTTCCCTTGCCCCTGCCCGTGCATATAGCTGATGGATGACTCCATTACCAACTGACTCTCTCGCATCTGTGCAAATATTTGACAGACGCGTGGAATGCCATGGCCAGTGCCATGGGCCAGAGCAGAGCCCTTAAAAAAACCCTCAGACATATGGCATATCTTGGGCCCTACTGTACCTGCAACAGCAGCAGCCGGTGACTGGTGACTGGTGACTGGACAGTGGGGCGTGGCAACGGAAGCAGTCGGTTGCCCCAGCAATGTGCCATTTAAACTGGACTGCCAAGGACTCGTCGCCGTCGCCGTCGACGTCCCCACCAGCAGATTGTTAATGGCGTGTCATTATTATGAGCTGCTGCCTCAGCTCCTGCCCCTTCCACTGCCACTGCCACTGCCCCTGCCACACAGCAGAGCAGAGCAGAGCCAGGAGGAGTGCATTCAGGGATCCAGGTTCCAGGTTGCAAGAACAAGTTGGAGCCGAGCGACAGTTTGGGTCTCGATTTGAAATTTAAACGATGCCACAACACAAAAGCGCGCGCGGAATTCCAAGAAAACGGCCGCCCCAGTCGTTAGGTACGAGAGTATCCTCTTCATTCCTGCCCCTTACCACATCTGCACCCCACCCAACCCCCCTTGTGGCAGACAGAGCCTGCTCCACGCAGTCCTGTCCTCCATACTCCAACAGCCTCTTGACGCACATAAATCGCGCAACGCGGCTCCCATTTGATAGTCATTATTGGGGTCCGCGAGGCGCGTGCAGCTGCCGCCGCGTTCGATGTTGCCACAGACAACACAGACATTGGTTGGTTGGTTGGTTGGCTGGTTGGTGCCTCAGTTGTGGCTGTGGCTGTGGCTGTGGTTCTGGCTGCGGCTCCACTTGTTAACGCAAGGAGCAAACCGGACTGCCTACACAGCGCCCAGCCCAGACCCCCAGACCCCCAGACCGATCCCCGAGCTGCCAGACCCAAGACCCCAGAGCTCAAAACCCGCTCGAGAGACATATTGGACGGACGGACCGGGGACGCGCTGATTTAAAACATCTGACAACAAAAGTAAAGCGCGAAATTGACGCAGGTTTCTGCCCCATGCACCAACCATGTTGCTCTTGTTGTTGCCCTGCCCCGTTGCTGTTGCTGTTGCTGTTGCTGTTGCTGTTGCGTGTGTTGCAAAATTAATGCGCATTCCTGGGCCCAACAACAGCAGCAGCAGCATAAGCCATTGGAGGGACAGTCGAGGGGCTTAAGGTACTCCTTCATCAAAGAAAAATCAACAGAAAATGGCAAAGTATCGCAAATGTAATACCCCTTGATTGATTCTATGAGTTGTATGGCTTGAAGTCGTTCATAGATGATGGTTTGAATGGTTTGTGGTTATGAGTGCCTAAAGCATAAATGTTTATGGAGGAACATGCAGCAGCGCCCCTAGGTCGGTATTTGCATTTAAGTCATTGGGAGGAGCGAATGGTAATGGCGCTGTCAGAATTCAAAGAGCTGACGTCACAGCAGGCAGGCAAAACAGTTGCCAAAACTGTGGCACTATCTGTGGTATGTGGCACAAAGAATGTGCAATGGTAAACTCTTATTGGATGACAAAAGAAATGTTGCTGTTCGACTGTTACTCCTTCTGTAATATTTCCAATTGATATGCAACGAAAAAATCGGTTAACTGAACTACTTTCTCGAACATATTTCAGGCTGGTCTCGATTCGTGTTTTTTCCACTGTACTGTGGCAACATGTTGCCAGCAGGCAGCAAGCAGCAAGCAGCAAGCAGATGCTGCAACATTTATTCACCGTTTTGGCCAAATATGGAATATGATCTTGGCTTTATGCCTCATGCCACATGCCTCATGCCTCTGTCCAGCTCTATTGTGTTGCAGCAACAGCACATTAATTGGTTGTTTGTTTGTTGCTTTACAAAGTTAATTCGATTAAAAACAGAGGCATGAACACACACATTTGTTCACTCCCCCTTTTATTTTTGTTGTTGTTTGTTGTTGTTGTTGTTCACTCATTTGGCGACGTATTCATGTTATTCGTGGATCATTCATGGCATGGCTTAGACATACGAAATGTGTGACCAAACCGAGTTATTAATCAAACTAAGAAATATACAACAAAAAAACATTCATTTGATGGCAAATAAATACATCGAGAAAAAGTTTTGTGTGTCCCACTGTGTGTGTGTGAGTATTTTGTTTGTTCATTCGTATATTTTGTTGTTGTTGGGAATTAGCATAAAAAGAATTAGAAGAGAGCGTAGAGCCGAAAGACGATGCCGAAAAGACTGAAATGGGAGGCGGTGCGGCGCCACAATTGAATTTGAATGAAGGGACAGCGAAGCCTCTTTCTGTGTGAAGTTAATTAAATAAATGCGAGGCGTAACGACAGCGCCTAGATAGTGGTTGGAATACCACATCCAACATCTACCAACGACCATCTCTATATGTGGGGAGGGAAGTGTGTGGTGTGTTCTCTGTTGTTGGTTCATCTTTCTCAGGGATTTACTTCTACTTCCTCTTTCGACTGGGCGACTGCTTTTTGGCCATTAGCAGCGGCAGTTAACAGCTTGTAAAACACGTAAAACCTGCTACAAGTTGTACTTACACACAGAATCGCGAGACGAGAGCCAAGAACTGAGAGAACTGAGAACTGAGAACTGAGAGCACACAGCAGAAGAGAGTTCAATAAAACCTGGGGAACAGAAGAAAGAATGAAGGTTCATCATTATCATCGTACCCATTCCTATGCCTCATCCTCCATCATTATTATGATCATTAAAGATTCAGCAGCAGCAGCAGCAGCAATAGTTTGCTGGCAGAAAAGGAGCAATAGAAAAATCACGAACTATGTATAGACCCCTCAACCACCCATCCTCCCCAATCAACACAACGTTGGGGGATAGTGAAAGATAACTACAGCGAACCAAATAAAAGAGAGGAACGTGCAAAAGGTTTTTGTCTCTAAGCGTAATTTCTGAATGGAAAACTAGGCAAGGATGGAATGAAGTTGGTCTTTTATTTTGGATTGCAATCGGAAACGATTCCTCCTGCTGTCTGTTCTTCTTGGTCTTCACTGTACAGACACACACACGAAGATGGCGAAAATTCTTTGGGAATGGAACCTGTTTTGCCGCAGCATCAGAGGCAGCAGCTGAAATCTTCTTCTGAGCCCCGCGACCGGAACCAGAGCCCAAAACAAGATGCCAAAGCACTCGAGCACACACACACACACACCTAGCACACAGAAATAGATAGACAGAGAGACAGACAAAAAAAGAGAGAGAGCGGGA